TTTTAATAGTTTCAGAAATCTAAAACTACCTATAGAAATGGTCAAGTATTTGGAAAAACGAGCAATACAACTATGTAATGGGTTTCATTAATACTTTCCTTTCTCAATGGAGTGAGTCAATATCCGGTTGATTTTTTTAGTTTACACTTAGGGGTTGAACCAAAATGTGCTGTATGTACACACATATGAATAGCTTCTGGATGGTATAAAAATATCGGTACTGCTTACTTTAAAATTTCCATTCTAAGTTTTGACTTTACATTTACCATTTGGGGAAATAGCCACAAATAAACAACAAGTAAACAATAAATAAATATCTATAAACAAATGAATAATAAAAAACAACTGATTAACACAAATGATCAGCTACAACGAACAAATAAACAACTTCTAAAGGGTTTGGTTTTCAGAAGTATAGAACTTTAAATTTCAATAAAACAACGATGGATTATTCGATTGACACCAATTTTTTTTTATTTGAAAAATGGCTCGAATGTAGTCCAATCTGGACATCCAATTTTCGATGACTAACGTTCTGGCCATCATCGTTTTTAAGAAGTACGGACCAATGATTCCACCAGCCCATAAAGCTCACCAAACAGTCAGATTTTCTGGATGTAACGGTGTTTTGACATTCACTTGAGAGTAGCTTCACTCAAAATGAGGAAGTTTTGTTTCATAGCTTCATCGACTTTGTCGACCAAAAAATGGACTTAAAACAACAAAAACATACAATCATATGAAAATGTAGAATACAAATTATAATAAACGAAGAGACTACTAAAGCTGACTTCGATTCTACTGACGATCCTAAAGAGGGAGGGAAGATTGGAGATGCCCTTGCTGTGAAATTAGAGGGGTACATCCTATAGATCTCGTAAAGGTATACACATCATCAGGACGAATTTATTAAGAAAATGGTTGAGAGGAAATTCAATATCTATAAGAGTAATGATCATTTATAATAAAAAACAAGAGGAAACGCTATAGTCGAGTGCTGCGACGGAAGTTCAGCCATTATAATAAAAAACAAGAGGAAACGCTATAGTCGAGTGCTGCGACTATAAGATACCCGTTACTGTTTACACAATTTCAAAATTTTAATTTGCTAGTGGAAATTACCCAAGCGCCGCCTATTGTCGGAGAAAGCATGTCGAGTATCTAATAGTGACGTCACTGGCCATGTGAGGCCTTATAACCTAAATTTCTTCATAAATAGCGAAATAATGTTCTGATTTGAAAAATCTTTGGCAAATCGATAGATATTAACAGAAATAAGTTATACAAGGTCATACAAAGGCATTCATTATATTATTAACACTGTGGCGTTCCGCGGTTTGTAGGCGTTAGAGTGGGCGTGGCCGGATAAAAACACGTAGGAAGTTACAGTGGCATCCCTAAGCATAACTTTCTAGCTCTTTTAGTTCCCGAGACTTTAGCATTTTCGGTTTTTCGAGTTTTGTGGGCGTTAGGGTGGGCGTGGATTGATCGGAAAAACATTTCGCATTTGGGGCATTATAAAAATCTACATGCTTAATCCGAACTTTCTATCACTTATAGTTACCGAGATATCAGGTTTTCTTGAAAATGCGAAAACCGTCTTTTGTGCTTGGTGGGCGTATGGGTGGGTGTGGACAGATAAGTACCAATAAAAGATGCACTGGCATCCAAAGTTTAAACATACTGAATTTTAACTTTCTAGCTCTAATAGTTCCCGAGATTTCACCGATTTTTTTTTTTTGAGATTTGTGGGCGTTAGAGTGGGCGTGGCCGGATGCTTTTGCTGTCCCGGGACCTCAAGAATCTTCATGCTTCATCTCTACAAATCTGCTATAGTTCCTGTGATATCAGCGTTCATACGGACAGACGGACATGGCTTATTCGACTTCGCTATTGATCCTGATCAAGAATATATTATATATACTTTATAGGGTCGAAAACGCTTCATTCTACCTGTTAGATACTTTTCAACGAATCTAGTATACCCTTATACTCTACGAGTAACGGGTATAATAAAACAGAAACCCAATACCGGATAGATTACCCGATACTGTTTTACAAAATTTTAAAATTTTAATTTTGCTAGTGGAAATTCACAAGAATTCAGAGGAAGCATGAGTAACTGATAGTGACGTCACTGCCCATGTGAGGCCTTATAAACTTAATTTCTTCATAAATAGCGAAATAATGTTCCGATTTGAAAAATCGTTTGCAAATCGATAGATATTTACAGAAATAAGTTATACAAGGTCAAACGAAAGCATTCATAATAATATTATAGACGCCACAGTTTTCCGCGGTTTGTAGGCGTTAGAGTGGGCGTGGCCGGATGCAACTTCGTGGTAAATTGCAGTGGCATCTCTTAAATACGTATTCTTAAGCACAACTTTGTAGCTTTTATGGTTTTTAAGATTTTTGCATTTTTGGTTTTTTGGGTTTTGTGGGCGTGGCTTGATCGGAAAAAAACAAATTGTATTGGGAGCATCATAAAAACCTACATGCTTAACCCGAACGTTCTATCTCTTATAGTTACCGAGATATCAGCTATTCTTGAAAATCCGAAAGCCTTGTGGGCGTATGGGTGGCTGTGGCCGGATAGTATTACTACTAAAAGATGTGCTGGCATTTAAAGATTATACATACTGAATTTCAACTTTCTAGATCTAATAGTTCCCGAGATTTCTTGCGCTGCGTAGGGACTCAAGAATCTTCATGGTTAATCTGAACTTTGTATCTCTTATAGTTCCTGAGATCTAAGGGTTCATGCGAACAGATAAACTGACGGACAGACGGACATGTCTCATTCGTCTTCGCTATTCATCCTGATCAAGAATATATATACTTTATAGGGTCGGAAACGCTTCCTTCTACCTGTTACATTCTTTTCAACGAATCTAGTAACGGGTATAACAAGAAGAAACGATATAGTCGAGTGCTGCGACTATAACATACCCGTTACTGTCTTACGCAATTGTAACATATTAATATTGCGTGGAAATGGACAAAGCGCAACCTTTTGTCCAAACAGCATGTTTACATATGAGACCTTATAACCTACATTTCATCACAAGTAGCAAAATATTGTTCCAATTTAAAAAATCTTAGGTGAATGGAAAGATATTTACAAAAAATATACAATAAATTATACCAGTTCAAATGAAGACACACATAATAATCTTATGGACGATACAGTTTTCCGCGGTTTGTGGGCGTGACCGCATGTTGTAAAAATAATACGCATTTGGGCGTCATTAGAAACGTCATTACAAATTAAAATTTTTACCAATATATTATATAACACTCTAATAAAGTATTCAGGAGTGGGAGCAATAACGATCCTGCTTCGGTCATAAGCATTTCAGGAAATTTTATATGCTCTATAGTTTATATACAGATAATGAAGAATCCTTTGTTTGAAACCTTCTGAATTTTTATGACGTGTCCATCGACAGATTGAATTGCATTCATCTAATGCATCTCCTTGCGAACATGGTTTCTTCTCTTGTTTTAGCTTGAAACAATTGGCACGAATTCAAAAACTAGATTGGTTCCTTGTTTTAAATTAATTTTTAGCTTAGTTTTTATTCACTGCACCTTCATTTTTAAGTTTTTCCAAAAACATGGGCGTCATTAAAAACTTCTTCCCAACATTTCTACAAATAGCGAAAATAGTCCTTTGAGCTTGGTGGTCGTAAGAGTTACCACCGTAAGATGCTCTGACATGTCAAGATAATACGTACTTAATCCCAACTTTCTAGCTCTAATAGTTCCTAAGATTTCAGCGATTCTAGTTTTCTGTGATTAATAGTGGACGTGGCATGATGCTGAAATAAACTTGCGCTCTGTATGGACCTCAAGAATCTCCATGCTTTATCTCATGTTTGTATATTTTATAGTTCCTGAGATCTCAGCGTTCATACGGACGGACGGACGGATAGACGGACGTGGCTCAATCGACTTCGCTATTGATCCTGATCAAGAATGTTATATATATACATTCTTTAGGGTGAGGTATGTGAGCGTTAATAAACACGACTGCAATGCAAAGCCTTTGTCCTTTTGTGTCTAATCTAATGAATTCTTAAATTGGAATAAAAACGTGAAACACTGACTTATACTTAACTATACACTTGATATCGGTTTTTCATGTCATGATAAACATCTGACCAAACACACACAAAGCGTAATTTACATATATAGAAATTGAAAGTGTGTTTTGAGAATATTCAACCCCTTAAGACCTTCCCAATCCTCCTAATTAGGGTAGTGAATACCTTTCAATATTCTTGCATAAGGTGTTGTGAGATCGGAAAACTAATCATGATCCGATCGTTATATTTTATTTCTTCTTTGAACACGTGCACCTATTTAAGAAACTATAATATATGGGTTTTTTATATCCTTACTAATAAAAATGTCCCGCATGGAGGTGAGGAGAATTATAATATAAATGATAAGGGTGTTTCATGGGTGGAGAAACTATGTCACTCTTGCGCCCATTAGCCGCGAACAACTGTAGCACCATTAAGCATGTAGTTTCCAATGTTGCCATCAACGCGTATTCTGGCCACACCTACTCTAACGCCCGCAAAATTAATAATGTGGCGTCCATAATATCAAAAAATATGAATTCGTTTGACCTTGAATAAATCCTTATTTTATCGATATACTAATCATTTTTCAAATCGGAACCTTATTTTGCGATTTTTTAAGAAAGGTAGATTATAAGACGTCACATGGACAGCGACGTCACCATCAGCTATTTAACATGCTCTTTCTGACAAAAGGTGTCGCTGCGTCAATTTCTGTCAGCAAATAAAAATGTTTAAATTGTGTAAGACAGTATTGGTTATTCTTTGGTTCTTTGCATTTTGGCTTAGACAAGTAAATTATTCGTAAGAGATTTGAATTGATTAAGCTCCTGTTGTGTAATGTGGGAACAAAATATATTTATTATAAATAAATTATTTAATGAACAATTTCTTTCACTTCAGGTAGATATGGTTGATGATGATGAACGTCGATGGCGTCATTTTAATCCAGAAATACCGAAAAGATCTGGAAAAATAAGTGAGCTTGAAAAGTTTGATGCGACTTTTTTCGGAGTACACTTCAAGCAAGCCCATACAATGGATCCACAAACACGAATATTAATTGAGATGGCCTATGAAGCTGTTATAGACTCAGGAATAAATCCAAAAAGTCTACGTGGATCTAAAACTGGAGTGTACATAGGGTCTTGTATATCTGAATCCGAAAAAACGTGGTTTTATGAAAAAGTTTCATCGGGAGGGTTTGGAATCACAGGATGTAGTCGTGCTATGATGGCAAACCGAATTTCATACTGTTTGGGACTTGAAGGACCCTCTTTTTTATTAGATACAGCATGTTCTAGTTCAATGTATGCGTTAGACAATGCATTCAGCGCTATTCGAAATGGAGAAATTGATGCGGCAATTATTGGTGGATCAAATTTACTACTTCATCCATTTGTAACACTCCAGTTCGCACGGTAAGGCATAAACCATTTTTTAGTCAATACTTACAAATATTATTGCGTATTTCAGACTTGGCGTTCTTGCGCCTGATGGGTTTTGTCGTCCCTTTGATAAAAATGCTAGTGGTTATACAAGATCAGAGGCCATAAATTGCCTTTTTTTACAAAAGAAAAAAAACGCTAAACGTGTTTATGCAACCGTAGTTTATTCAAAAACCAACTGCGATGGATACAAGCCGGAGGGTATAACATATCCATCAGGTATAATCCAGGAGAAATTGCTTGACGAGTTTTACAAAGAAATTGGTGATAAGCCAAGGTCTTTGGGGTATTTGGAAGCTCACAGTACTGGAACGGTAGTCGGTGATCCTGAGGAATGTAAAGCAATCGATAATGTGTTATGCAGTCAAAGGACAGAGCCATTATTGGTTGGTTCCGTGAAATCAAATGTTGGTCATTCCGAAGCAGCTTCTGGAATATGTTCATTAGTAAAAGCTTGCTTTGCTTTTGAAACTGGATTAATTGCACCAAACATAAACTTTACTGAGATCAAAGAAATAATTGCACCGTTATCCGAAGGAAGGTTAATTGTTGTAAAAGACGTAACTCCGTTACCAAAGCCCTTTATTGGAATAAATTCTTTTGGGTTCGGTGGAGCTAACGCGCATGCACTCTTGAAGGGTAATCACAAGTCCAAAGATAATTTTGGATTACCACAAGATGAAGTGCCGCGTCTACTCACATGGTCAGGAAGAACAGAGGAGGCAGTTCAGGAGATTTTTAGTGCTGTAGAGAAAAATCCTTTGGATGCTGAATTTATTGGATTGCTTCAAAATATTCAAGAGGAAGATGTTTCAGGAATGGTATTTCGGGGATATGCAGTTTTTGCTAAGCAAGGAGTTGAACCATGTAAGATATTATCAAGAGATATTCAGCATTATACTGGTCTTCGACGGCCGATTGTCTGGGTTTTTAGCGGAATGGGATCACAATGGAACGAAATGGGAAGATCACTTATGATATTACCTCGGTTTCGGGAAGCAATTGAATTTTGCCACCAGATATTGATATCCAAAGATATAAACCTTATACATATACTAACATCCCCTGATCCAGAAATTTACCAAAACATTTTGAATTCATTTGTGGGAATCGCAGCTGTGCAAATTGGCCTAACAGATGTCTTGCGGTCTCTTAATTTTCAACCTGACTTCATTATTGGACACTCTGTTGGTGAATTAGGCTGCGCATATGCGGATGGTGGGTTAAATGCTCATCAAATGATATTAGCTGCCTATTATCGTGGAAGAGTTAGCGTGGATCTAGAAAAAATAAGAGGTTCAATGGCAGCAGTGGGCCTCGGCTACAAGACTATTCAACATATGCTGCCAAAGTCGATCGAAATAGCTTGTCATAATGGCCCGGACTCATGTACAATATCTGGTCCAGAAGATGAGGTTTCTCAGTTCATAGCTGAATTAAAAACTAAGGGCATTTTCGCAAGGGAAGTTCCCTGTTCAAATATAGCTTATCATTCAAAATACATAGCCCACATGGGGCTCCCTTTACTAGAATACATGAAAGAAATTATTCCAAATCCTAAGCACAGATCTATAAAGTGGTTAAGTACAAGTGTTCCCAAAAATGACTGGAATAAGGATGAAGCAAAGTTTTGTTCTGCAGAGTATCATACTAATAACTTATTGAACAGTGTACTTTTTGAGGAAACACTTTCATTGCTACCTAAAAATTCACTAACTATTGAAGTAGCTCCTCATGGCCTTTTAGGTGCTATTCTTAAGCGATCAATGCCTAATGGTGTAAATATCTCTTTAACAAACAGGGGTAACAAAAATAACGCATTGTTTTTCCTTGCTGCTCTTGGGAAGTATGTATAAATTTGGTAGACAGTCATTAAAAATCAAATAACAGTGTATTTATATTTTTAACAGAATATACCAAAATGGCGCTCTACTGCATGTTGCTAACTTATATGAAAAAATCCAGTTCCCGGTATCACGCACAACTCCGAGCATTAGCTCCCTTATTCGTTGGGATCATAGTGAAGACTGGTTTGTGACAAAATACGAAAATATGAAAACAAAATCTAGTGGGGAACGAGTGTTTTCAGTTAATCTATCGAGTGACAATGAAGAATTTATGAGTGGACATATCATAGATGGAAAAATTCTTGTACCAGCTACATGTTATCTTCAGTATGTTTGGGAAACATTTTCACTTATGTACCATGGTCCGAGTTATATGGATGTACCTGTTGAATTTGAAGATATACGTTTCATAAGAGCAACAACTATGCCAGTTACTGGAGAAGTTGAATTAACAGTTATGATTCACTATGGCACCGGTAATTTTGAGGTTGGTACAGTCGGCACATAATACTTTCATACACCCATGAGTTGCAAGCTTATTCTTTAATATCTCGATAAATGATTCCGGCTTGCTACATGCTCTTTGAAATCTCCAAAAGCATATTTTTATAATCAGAATAAATGTTATTTTACGAGCAACTCATACTAGCATCGTGCACGGTGTTCGTAATGTTTTGGGAGCCAATATTTTTTGTTGTAGATGTTGTTCTGTAATTTGTAATTTTCAGGACAACTGCGATCTCTAAATATAATTTTATTATAGTGTTTACAAATCTATGGATAAAGCTTGACCCCGACCAATTTCGTCCAATTACTACAATAAACGCAGCGAAATTAACGAAAAAACGTTGATCATAGCACACCGAAGCTTGCTCCGAAGTAGAGTTCAAAAAAGAATCGCTGATTACCGTTGCATTCATAAAAAGAAGTCAAGAATGAGAAGTTTACAAATAATTTTTTTGAGTTAAAAATGTTCTTTTGCGTTTTTAAGGAAATTATTTAGTATTAAGTTAAACTGGTTGATTTTATGTTTAAATGTTTATGCTCGAAATGTATTTCTTTCATTTGAGATATTAAATTTTAATTTCGGTTATATGTTTTTCGAGATATTAAAGAATAAAGCTTGCAAATCATGGGTGTACGGTTATATATATGTAAACAAACATCCTTTTTTTAGATAACAGAAGCGGGTAACTTAGTTGTTACCGGCACCATCCGTGAGACTGAAAAACCGACTATCCCGGAAGTTTATAAGTTTCAAAGTAAATCTAATTTTCCAATGATATCTAAGAGGGACTTTTACAAAGAGTTGAAATTACGGGGCTATCATTATAATGGCGCATTTCAAGCCGTTCAAATAGCCCGCTCAGATGGTTTATTCGGAAAGGTTGAATGGAATTATAACTGGGTAACTTTTATGGATGCGATGCTTCAAATTCAGATATTGGGGACTGATTCACGAACTCTTTTATTACCAACAAAAATTCGAAAATTAAAAATAAATGGAAGACATCATTTCGATTTAATGTCCCAAATGAATCCGGACAATCGTGTTTTCGATGTGTATGTAGATCACATGTACGATCGGATTATAGCAGGAGGGATTGAACTCGTTGGTCTACATGCCAGTCCAGTACAAAGACGTCGGTCTCCTGGTATTCCAGTTCGTGAAGAGTATGTCTTTTTTCCATTTTTCCCATCGACATTGCTTTCCTTTAAAAATGCTGCTCGTGTTTGCATTCAAATCGCCCTTGAAAATAATCCTACCCTTAAAATAAAGTTGGTTGAGGTACACGTAGAGGAAGAAAAGCCCGTGCTAATCGATTTTATAGAATCAATTGAAGATTTACCTGTTATTACTGGAGACTATATTCTATTGACATCTCAAAATATGGATACCATTACAGGGGCTCGTATTGAAAACGGAAGTTTGTCTTCTCAAGTAAATTGTTATTTTATCGTACTTGGGGGGTTTGACGCAAATGAAGTGCAAGATAAGATTACAACTGTTCACAAGGTACTTGTCGATAATGGTTATTTATTGCTTAGACAAAAAGCTACCATGGATATTTCAGCATTGAAAATATTAGAACGATTTCAAACGCTTTCGATTCTTTCAATCGATAACAATGAAGAAAAATTTGTTTTATTGCAAAAAGTTTCAAAGAAACTAACAGTACAACCAGTCCTCGTAAAAATATCTGAACATGATATTAATTTTGATTGGATTGCAGTGTTGCAAGCTGCGTTAAGTACTAAATCACCAGTTATTGTGTATTCATTTAACGAGAAATTTAACGGAATAATTGGGTTAGTGAATTGCTTGCGAAAGGAACCTGATGGAAATTTGATAAGATGTTTTTTTATTGATGATCAAAGTGCTCCTGCCTTTGATTTGTCTCACCCGTTATATTCCGACCAGTTTTCATTGGGGTTGGCATTTAACATATATCGCAATGTAAGTATTTATTTATATATATTATTAAACATTATAAATATATATTCGGTTGCTTTTAATAAGGGCTCTTGGGGAAGCTATAGACATTTGCAATTGCTCAAAATTGACAAGCCAGAGGCCAGATTAGATCACATTTATGGAAACGTCATTCAACGAGGAGACTTATCGACCTTACAATGGTTAAAGGGACCTCTTAATTCACAAAACTGTCAAATTAAAATAGCTTTTTCTTCTCTAAATTTTCGAGATGTAATGCTTGCAACTGGTCGGTTAGCTGTTGAATTATATGGATCAAGTCGAATAGATCAAAACTGTGTATTGGGTTTTGAATATTCTGGTATTAACATGGTATCTGGACGTCGTATAATGAGTATGGTGGAAAAGGGTGGTGTAGCTTCCTATGTAGAAAAGCCATCAAAACTAATATGGGACATTCCTGATCACTGGTCTTTAGAAGAGGCAGCTACTGTTCCTGTGGTGTATATAACTGTTTACTATGCATTCTTTATGATAAGTGATATACGAAAGGGAAAAAGCATACTTATACATGCTGGTACTGGGGGCATAGGTCTAGCCGCTATTCGAGTGGCTTTGGCCTATAACCTGGAAGTTTTTACAACTTGCAGTAATCCCATAAAGAAAGAATTTTTACTAAAAACATTTCCGCAGCTAAAAGGTAATTCAAAATAGTTATTGATGAGTTAATGAGAATATTTAAATAAAATTTAAAAATTTTAGAATCCAACATTGGAAATTCTCGGGATACGTCATTCGAGACTATGGTGCAGCGTGAAACAAACGGCAAGGGTGTGGATTTTGTTTTAAACTCTTTATCGGAAGAAAAACTGCTTGCATCAGTACGATGTCTTGGCAAGTCTGGACATTTTTTGGAAATTGGAAAGTTTGATATGGCCAACGACAACAAAATTGGATTAGGGTGCTTTTTAAAAGAAATTACTTTCCATGCAGTCCTTGCTGATAGCCTTCTTGTTGCTCCAGAAGAAGACATTTGGGTAATATTATAAAATTACCATCACAATACTTATATTAAGACTTGTCCCTCCTTTCAGCATTTGAAAAATCTTATTGATATAGATATTTCTAACGGAATTATTCAACCATTACCTGTTAAAGTCTTTCAGGCTCATGAAATTGAACAGGCCTTTAGACATTTGATCGGTGGCAAACATATTGGAAAAGTTGTTATTCAAGTTCGTGAAAGGCCAGATGATCCGTCAACTTTACCTGTTAGGGTGATAAGTCAAATTTACTTTAAGCCTACTCTTACTTATGTAATTTCTGGTGGGCTGGGGGGTTTCGGAATGGAATTGGCTGATTGGATGGCTTTGCGCGGAGCTAAAAAACTTTTGCTTAGCTCTAGTCGCGGAATTACAACAGACTATCAATCATTCAGGATCGCGTGAGTAATTCAATATAATATATTCATACCATAAAAACTTAAAAAAATTTCGCAAATAGGCTATGGAAGACCTATGGTTGTGAAATCGCTGTCAGCACCTCAGATATTTCAACAAAAAATGGATGCCGCAGACTACTTTCTGAAGCTTCTGCTCTAGGACCAGTTGGTGGAATTTTTAATCTGGCAGTTGTGTTAAGGGATAGTATTTTTACAAACCAAACCAAAGATCAATTTTTAGAAAGCTTTGCGCCTAAGGCTATTGCCACTAAACATTTAGATGAGGTATCTCGAATTTCGTGTCCGGATTTGGAGCATTTTGTAGTTTTTTCAAGCGTATCTTGCGGTCGGGGAAATGCGGGCCAATCAAATTATGGGATGGCCAATTCTGTAATGGAACGCATAATTGAGTATCGAAACAGAAACGGATTTCCAGCTAAAGCTATTCAATGGGGAGCAGTCGGTGAAGTAGGCTTAGTGGCTGATATGGCAGAAGACAAAATTGATTTAGAAATAGGAGGTACCCTCCAGCAACGAATTTCATCGTGTATCCAGGAACTGGATCATTTATTAGGATCCAAATCTCCAATTGTGTCATGCATGGTCGTAGCTGAAAAACGTAATGGTCGTTCTGAAAATGAGAGTATTATTGATGCAGTCATGAATATTATGGGAATAAGAGACTTAAAAACAATTTCGTTAGGTACTACACTTTCAGAAATGGGTATGGATTCTTTAATGGCTGTTGAAATTAAGCAAACCCTAGAAAGAGACTTTGAGTTAATTTTATCCCCACAAGATTTACGACTCCTTACTTTCCAAAAGCTACAGGAGATTATTGATGCTAGAGAAAAAGAAAACGATGAAGAAATAAAAATGATATTTCCTTCAGAAAAAAAGCTTTTTGGAATGGAGTTACTAATTCGGAACTTAGGCGATGAAACAAACTGTGATCAAGTTATTATTCCTCTCAAGACTTCTGCAGCTCCTTCAAAACAGACCCTACAACCAAACATTATAATACCTGGATTGGAGGGAACAGCTGGACGTGCATGGTATCAAATAGGCTCCAGATTGCAAAGTAGGGCTATTGTTCTACAGCTACATCAGTTCGCTCATTTAGAAAATCTTAAGGACGTCGTACAACAATGTTTTGAAGTAAGTCCATTTTATTTAAAGATCATGCTAAATATGATAATTTATCATCACTTTACAGCAAGTCAAGCTATTATTACGGCAAACAGAACCGTTCTATATAATTGGATACTCATTTGGAACCTTTATAGCTTTAAAGGTAGCCGAAATGCTTGAAAATTGTGGCTTTCGTGGACATATAATGTTGTTAGATGGAGCGCCACATTTTTTAAAACGCCTTACAAATTTACATTTGGGTGACCATTTCTCAGACAATGAACTTTATGATTTGCTTTTTTCTAGTATTGTCAATCAGATATTCCCTGAAGAAACTAAAGAAACCACATCTGAAGTTTTTCACAAAGTGAAAAGCCTTTCAGAAAAAAAGTCAATTTTCATGAACTATGTTGAAAAGCAGAATGTATACAGCAAAGAATACTCTGCGACAATGGTAGACGCAATGTTTAGGAGAGTTAAAATGGCGGCTTCCTTTGATTTAAATGGTATTCAAAAAATAAAATCACCAATTACATTGGTCCGACCTTCTGAGGTTTCACTGCAAGACATTGATGAAGATTATTGCCTTTCTTTACTGACCTCTGGAAAGGTAACACTCAAAGTAATTGAAGGAAATCATACTACCATGTTGGATAATCCATCATTAAGTCAGATAATTAACGGTTTTGATCCAGTTCTGATAGAAGATACAAATTTTGAAGAATATATTCGAAATGACAAGCCAGTCTCGGTAGTGTAAGAATTCCTTTATTCATAACCACTAATATTCGTATTAAAAAACGTAAGCTTAAGTTTAAAAACTAAATAAATATTAGTAGTTTGATTTTTAAAATTATAAAGTATAGGATTATATATGAAGTAGTTCATTAAAAAAGGTACTTAAATAATTGGCCCTTTGATTGCCTTATTTCTATTTTAAAGTCCCACATTAGAAATTCGCAGGAAACATTATTCCAAATTATTGTATGCCCTTCGCATCAAGTTAAACATTTTTGGAACTCCAGCATTGATAAACAAACAAAAATCGCTTAACCACCTCTGTTTTCAGACATTCAGAAAGATAATCACCTAAGTTGTCAGCAATCCGCTGACCCAACGAAACTATCTGATACATAAAAATTGTTACACATATATGGCACTGTACTACACAACCTACGGAAAAACTGGCTCCGCTTGCAAAATATACCTTCATTGTTTCTTAATACCTATTTTTGTTAACTTAAGCATTTTGTACCTGTAAAAACTGTTAAGTTTGTTAAATAAAATCGTTTCTCATTCATTATCGCATTCATCAGATACTGTGGCCGTGTCTTCGTCCCTTCTTAGTATAAAAGCGGTTTTCATTCTGTTACCTGCATCACACACACACAAAAATATGAAACCAATACCCAGTGGGGAACGAGTGTTTTCTATTTATGTTTGTGTTTGACAATGAAGATGTCGTCACTCGGGTGGGAGTTGCCTATAAAATACAGCGGCGATACGGCAACCCGTCTTGAATACCCAAGCCACTATTGTAATTTCAACCAAGAAACTCATAAATGTATGAGCGTGCGTACGTATGTTTTGTTCTAGTGAGGAACCCTAATAGAAAGATCGCTTACCGCAGTATAACCTCCCACACTCCATGGTTTTTGACTACCAATTCACCACGAGCGCGCCATATTTATCTATCTAGTGTGCCCGATCTTTTCATGAGGACCAATACTAAATAGTAAACTATCCCCCCAACTCCATGAAGAACCCCTTCACTCAAATCCAAAGCCAACTTTAAAGCGGGGCACATTGTCCAACGGGCTCGTCTGACCTCACCATCCATTCCAGCAAAGGACCCATCCACGACGTCCTTCCGCCAGCCTCGACGCGGCACGGCTGTATTGCAAACGAAGACGATGTCTCCTCGACGAATCGGCTTCTCTCTGCGGCATCACTTCTCTCTCCGTGTCAGCGTGGGCTGCTACTCCAAGACCCACCTCTTCCAGAAACGGTTCCGCAACATCCCTGCTATGCGCCACTGTTTCCACGTAGCTCCTTCCTTAGCAAGGTCTCCATCCAGGCCGGGAGTATCCGGCGGGAAAGCTGCTCCCTTGAGCCCATCTGGCAAAAGGGTGAGCGGACGCGAATAAGCAATATTCTCCGCCTCTATTAGGAAACTCTCCAAGACGTGCTCCTTCGGCGCCACCTCCTTCACTGTGTGACGCAGCACCCTCTTTGCGCACTGCACCATTTGCTCCTAGACTCCGCCCTCTGTCGGCTTCGCTTGGCACAGTTCCGCCTGGATCCTCTCGGGTTCGAAGATCTCCGAAAATCTTTTGGCCTCCCTGTCCACTCCAACGAAGTTTTTGCCATGGACAGCTCGTGCGCCAGTTCCAAATGAATCGCGCTGGTCCTCAGGCACGTAAACAAGGCCACCCACCGCTTCTCCTGGTGCCGAGCTACGGTCACTGGCTGTGTTTCGAATTAGTCGAGACCCGTGCTCTTAAACGGCCAGCCACTGGCCTCCAGACGATCCTCTGGCAGGGGTCCTATAATCGGCGGCATCGGTCGCGCTCTGTGCAGCTTACACTCAATGCATCCCGAGATCACACTGCGAATCACTCTCCGTGGTCTCGTAATCCAGAGCCTGGTCCGGATCTCCGCCATCGTAGCATCCACGTTTTGATGCCTCACACTCAGCTACAGTGAGGACATAGTTCTCAAGCTCATCTCGTTGTCCAAGGCATCGACGCGTGAACCGTAGAGCCCAGGCCGTAGTCCTCAACAATCGCCTTTAGCTTGAGAATCTCTGTAACGATATAAACTCCTAGCTTTGCTACCAGCTCGTTGTCGACCATCGTCACCGAAGAACCTTCATCCAGGAGCGCGTACGTATCCACCTGTTTCCCACCTCCGTATAGCGTCACCGGGCAATACAAGGAACAGTAGTCGTTCTCGGTCCTCGTTGACACAGCTCAAATTCCTTTCTGACGTCGCCGGGGCATGCCCGGATGACGATGTTCCTTCATTCACTCGGACGCCTTTCGTCGGCCCAACTGCCTTTCGGATCCGGTTGTAGCTTTTTCAATTGCCGCCTCGCTGTGGCGGTCTCCTGAAGCCTTCATTGCTTGCTTCATGCAGAAGACGGTGATAATGCCTCCTTCATCCATTCGCGGGGCACTCTCCTGACACAGCACATAAAACATAAGCGATGTCTTCTGGCTAGCCTCAACCTCTCTGTAGGTGTGGCTCCAATGAATCGTTGGCAGTTCCAAACTGCATATTGTCCAGGTCCAAGCCCTCCCCATATTGGGCAACCTTTGAGGCAGCTCACCACGCAGACCACATTTGATAAGTCCGTCAGCCATGAGCTAAACTCCACAATATTCGGAAAGGGCTGAATAGCTGCAGCATACCTTGCATACTCCACTCGTTTACTTATCGGGAGCTTGGCCACAAGGTCTTCCATGAGGGTAGAATTACCCAGATGCTGCTCTGCCTTCGCCGACTGCATGAAGGCCTTGAGGTTTCTCACATGCGTGGCGAATGCAACGAGCTTTACCAAATTGTGTTCCGTAACTGCGGGCACATCTCGGATGCTGTTGAGCTGGCTGCATATTAGTTGCTCCGGTCGGCCATATCTGAAACGCAGCTGCTCCATCACTGCATTCACATTGCTGGAGTGAATCAACAACGACTTCATCGTCTCACGAGCGTCATCCTTTAACGCCTTCAGTAACCTCCGGTTGTTCTCAAAGTTCTGACAACCATACGCTTCCGTCGTTTCTGTAAACGCGCAAGAGAAGATGGGCCAATCCTCTGGCTTCCCTCCGAACGTAGGCAGTTCAGGAAGCTTTCGTGGCGCCCAGCTTGTAGTTCCTCCTATAGTCGTCGCCCAAGCACAGTTTTTAGGAGACGGCGATCGTACAGATGTTCCGGCCACTTTATTATGTAGCCCGAAATGGCGATGCGTTACTGTTCCTCGTGATACAGCTTTGCGAAACTGTGCACGGTATCTCGTACAGGCACTTTGCGCTGTCTGCGCAAGATCGACCCCCTCACCAGGGTGCAGTTCCAATGTCACCAGTCACCGGAGTTGCCTACAACATACGGCGGCGATACGGCAACCCGCCTTCAATACACAAGTCACTAGTGTATATTCCACTCAAAAACGCATAAATGTATGAGCGTGGGTATGTATGTTTTATTCTAATGGGGAATGCTAATATAAAGATTGCATACCACAGTTTACCCTCCTACACTCCATGCCTTTTGACGACCAACTCACCACGAACGCGCCATATTTATATATCAAGTGTGCTCGATTTCTTCATGAGGACACAATACCAAAGTTCCAATACTAAATAATAAACTATCGATAATTGACCCGCGACAGAAGTTTTAATGAGGGATCATGTGGTATTGTCTTGTGTCATATGGAGTTGCCTTTAGCGACTACCCCACACGAGTTACCGACCAGTCGGTAGGTAACAAGCCGCCGGCCAAGCCACCCAGAGCTATTCTGGAATTGGTACGCTGACTGGGTGGCCACTTGACAATACATATGGATGCAATTATGTTGCAGTCTAAACATCGTCCAAAACTAGGCAACGACCACTTGGGTCGCTGCCCTGCTAACGTTTCGCTGACTCTGCAATAGGATGCCTCGACCCCCGGAAATGTGACACGAGAAGCACTTGGATTTGGATTCTTTATAAACATTCATTTTATTTCATTTTCGTACTTATGTATAAGCATTTATGTATAGCATGTAAGATTTTTTATGTACAATTCGGCAGCGGCGGTTTCTCGGACACCGCTGAACAATATAAGTTTCAGTTTGAGAATTTACTTCAAACAGAGAAGTTTCAATTCCGCTAAGATTTTTAAAAACGGGACTTGAAGAATATCTGAAGACATTCCGATAAATATCAGGAGAACACCCCGAACCAACATTGAATTTTACTATAACTCACGCGTAGGTCAGAAGAGAGGGTTAACTTCAAGGGCCTGTGACCGTAGCTGTAGAAAGCATTAAAATACATTTCAAACTAACTTAATCTTACCGCAGTATGCCCTCCTACAATTCACAAAACAAATAAAAGCACAATTCTGGCGGCATTCACAGCAGCGATATTAGTAGGACCGCGCTTCAAGGGGCGAAGGAATCTATACGAGATTGGATAAGTTAACAAATACTATCGGCTTGGCCGATCACGGGGAAATGCCTTCAAAACACTAGGTTTCTTTATACCTATTTTTGTTAACTTAAGCATTTTGTACCTGTAAAAACTGTTAAGTTTGTTAAATAAAATCATTTCTCATTCATTATCGCATTCATCAGATACTGTGGCCGTGTCTTCGTCACTTCTTAGTATAAAGCGGTTTTCATTCTGTTACCTAAATCATTCAAACAAAACACTTATCAATTCTCACACATTGTTCCACTGCCTATTAACGAATCTAAATTTTTAGTTCTACCTAATTATATGGCATACCATAACGCTAAGGATATATATTACTTTATAAACAAATGTAATAAGGTAGACAAATTTTATATTTGCGAAAATTTGTTATCGATCGGGGACAATCCTGAAACCGAATGCCTCAATAGCATATTCACGCTGAATATCGCGAACTGTAGAGTCAAAGATGTCGGAAATCAAGAGATAATAACTGAAATAGAACCGGCACACATTCTAATCTTAAATACAATAAACTCCACTATTGTTTCAAATTGTACGGCTAAAATCCCTATAAAGGGATCTGCGCTAATTACATTCAACAACTGCAAAGTATCTATCAACCAAATTCCCTACGACAAAGAATTGGCGCTATACGAAGAGAAGATAGATGTTACTTTCCCAATTATTCGGAATATAAACTTCACCAACCACGTCGAAGATATCAACCTACACAATTTAAACCTAAAATCCATCAATGCTTCCAACTCCATTATTTATTGGAAAAATGTTACAACTACACCATCGCTTTGGCCGTCACTTCAATCCAGGAGGGGAGGAGTTACCGACCAGCCGGTAGGTAACGAGCCGCCGGCCAAGCCACCCAGAGCTACCCTGGAATTGGTACGCTGACTGGGTGGCCACTTGACAATACATATGGATGCAATTATGTTGCAATCTAAACATCGTCCAAAACTAG